AAAAAAAAATCTGAGATCAGAAACCACAAAAGCAAAGAGACTATCAAAAAAAACAAACATAATCAAATAAAGCCACTGTTACCGTAGTTCTTTGTTGGCATTTGCTTGAATGCTGCAATGACATCAACATGGTAGCCAATGTCCACCTCAAACTTTGTCTGGGACACCAGAATGCACTGGCCCTGCAAAGTGGCTCCGGGCTTCTGCCAGCCATTACATAACTTGAGCAGCGCTGCCAGGGCCGTGCCGTCCCGAGCTCGGCTGGTGGCCTCCGTCACGTCCACCGCTTCCATTCCCTCCAAAGGTCTCAAAGACACCGAAGGAATGGCAGCTGCTTCCTCCACTGCAATACGGGGTCAAGAAAAAAAGTAATGATTTAAGACAGTTTGTTTAAAAACAGCAGCGTGCATGAGTTGAGCTCCTGAATATGGAAGATCCTGTGAATACTTCCGTACTTAGCTGTCGGTAGTCTTCTAGACTAAAGTTCCACATCTTGGTGGCAGGATCTAAGGCAGAAAATTGCATTTTTAATTCCAAAAGCCAGCAAAATCAGTATATAATACAAAATAACTATTTTAAAATTGCTAATCATCCTATATAGGATTAGAGATTTATGTTCATAAAAGAAGATAACAGTTTTTACAGTTTTTGCATTAACTGTTTAGGAATTACAAAAATTTTATATATATTTTCAGAGACTAATTCAAGCAGAGAATAATTGACTGGTAAGCAGTTTTATGGCCAGGTGAGGCCTGTTCCCTTTTATGACAAAAGAAACTGACATAATATCTAAAGCTGATCCAAAGTGTTGAATTCGTGCTGTAATTTTAAATATGACATCCAATGAGATCTCAGTGCAGTGAGGGAGGCCAAGTGCATGATCATAAGAAAAACTCAAGAAAACAACTTGACAGCATCTAACTAAGTCAATAACACTTTTAGGAGGTAGGTGTCACATTGTAAATGTCTAGTCACATGGTTGATATGACTGTATACCAATGGCTTTTGGTGGTCTTCAAGAGTTACAAGCACTGAAAATTCACTGCAAAATTCACGGAGTAACATATCAGCTGCAAAACAGCACAGTAAGCATCTCAAACACTTACCATAGTTTTTTGAGGGGATGGACTTGAAAACAGCAATAAGCCCTGCATGGTAGCTCACTTCTACCCTGAAACGGTCTTCTGTGTGAGGTACACATCTTCCCCTTACAGAGATGGCAGGCTTTTTTGCAGGTACGACATTTGTAGAGGTGGGGTTAGAGGAAAGCTGTGCCACTTGACTCTGAGCAGGTTTACTGGGCTGCTTGTAAAATGAGCCAACTGCACCTCCGGAGCTGCTGGATGAGAGTTGATGTTTGCCCTGAGCTGGCCCCACGGGGATGCTTCCTTCAGGAGACAAGACGGAGCTCCTCAAATGTTGACTTTCCAGAGGAGTTGAGTTAGTAAGAGTCTGCAGAGACATATAATACGAAGCATTATAAAACTATCCTCACCGACAGTAAATGACTGCACATTTAAGCATAAACCCCACCTGGTTTGAAGATGCAGAATTACACACAGTGCTTTGGTTGAAGTGGCTGCTAGTGCCAGGCAGCTGCTGCTGACTTTGGCTCTGTGGTTCCCTTTTTAAGGGAGGGGGGAAGCATTTTGGTCCCGAGACTGAGGTTTCTCTGTGCTGAACTGAGGCAACAGGATCCGGACTCTGTTTGGGGAGCTGTGTTTGCACTGAAGTACTTTTGGAGCCTACTGAGGGCTTAACATTGGTGCTGTTAGCCTGTCCAAGTCTTTGGGCTCGTCTTTCTAAAGCCTTCCGCCTGTTCTCCTCAATCATTCGCTGTTGCTCTGCAGTCAGCTGATTAGACATGTTGACAGCTAGAGCTATCTAGCAGACATCGGCTACAATCTAAGACACCCTACGTCTGCAAAAAGGTGATCTGTGTAGATCCATGTTGCCTTTTAGAGCTACTAACTTCGTTTTGTTTAACGTTATCTGCACTGCTGCTTCTGTTGCTAATGGTAGCAGCTAGCGACCCTAATCTGGATGCTAACAGTCAAACTTAGCAACATAATATTATCGGAACAACCACAGTAGCATTACAGATACTTGAACTTTGAGCCGTCTGAAGCGGATGACCCCAAAATGCAATCTAAAAACAGCGAAGTCTGCAAGAATATCGTCAGCAGAAACTTTTAACGCTAGTTTACAACTTCTTGGTTCAGGATCTGGCGCGCAGGAAGTGACGTAGGAAAACAAGTCGGCACGTGCAGGTAGTGAAGGCAAAAATAATCTACTCTTGAGAAACTACAACGACTACAGGGACGTTTTTATTGCCATTAACCACGGCTTTAAAAAATCATTTTGTACTGATAAAAACCGCGAATATGTTATCTTAAAAAAACAGGAAAATATTTATTTATTTTGCAATTTGTGATTCTCCACTATGAAGGTGACACTATTGCTACCGAAATTTACGTAAAACATTTACATTTGTCTCTAATTATCAGTTAATGTGAGTATTTTTCTGCTCTAGTACGCACATTTTGTTAATACTTCTTACGTAAGACATCTAGTTAAAGAGAAAATGGAGAGGTTTGGAGGGGGG